GTGTAGTATTTCATGACATGAATATACCATATATTTAATTATATTTTGATTATTTACTATATAGGGTTATTAAAGATAAAACTGATGAGACTTTTTCTGCACATATAGTAGTATAGATACTTCTTGATACTTTTTGGTTTCTGAGTTTAGAATGAGACAAAATAAAGTGGCTTAGCAACAGTTTTCAGCAGAGTTGATGTGTCTGTGTTTGCCTTACCACTCATCCAGCCCAACTTCACCACTTAAGAGTGACTTAAGTTTGTTCTAGCTTGATTCTTCTTGACTCTCAGTATCAGAAGGTGACCATGAGCTGCGAATATTGAAGAACAATCTTTAGCCCTATCCTGTTTTAAAAACCTGTGAATTACAACTGTTTCTGGATTTGCAAGATATCCACAGTGGTGAATAAGTAGCATTTGGGGATAATCAACAACTTAAGGCCCACTGAATGGAAGGGAATTGATGGTTAGCACTGTAAAGCTAGCCAACTATCTGAGCCTGGAGAGGTTGTAGATCTTAGAGGGGAACCCATTACTGCCATTTACCTAATTTAATAAAATTTCTGAATATATTCTCAGTACATATCTTTATATTCAATGATATGTGTAGTTTTCCTGTCATCACAGAATCTTATCATTTCAGAAAATAGAGACTATTAGGGAAATCCACAACTGGTCAAAAGCCAGGGAATAAGTGGTCTTGGGATATTCAGTCCCAATGTATGTATCTGCAGCGTATCCTTTACACCTCAGGATTGGGGAAAATCACAGAAGAGAGGGCAGAATGGTTGTAAGAGCCAAAAGCCGAGGATGCCTGCTGTTAGATAATATCTCTTGTAAAAGAATCTTATTTCCTGATACACATTACAAAGCTTTGTTCCTGGTAAATATCTAACAAATACAAACACAGTGAAACAGTGGTTGCTATAGTCATAAATATTTGTAAATATAGCACTAAATATTTTCCTGTTATAAGAATTGTAATCCCTGCTACATGTAGTGGTTTTTACCTATAATCTTAGCACTTAGGAAGCTGAGACAGAAAGATGACAATTTTAGTTACATAGCAAGACCCTATCTCAAACAAACACATCTGTTAATAATGGGAAATTCATGCTGTATTGAATAATCTAGGAGCATAGAACTTTAGACATCAGAATATTTTGGAAATTGTTTTTCCTCTGAGAGTAAGAAGAGATGAGACAGGGTAGTCCCTATCTCTACAAATAAATACTTATAGGCTCTTGGGCAACAGAACTGATTTTCTAGGAATAGTCCTCAAAACATCTTTTAAATTGAACTATAAAGTGTATTGCTCAAATTTCTTCATTTGAATTAACAATGAATGCTTTGTTATATGAAAATGTTTTCCATTAGATTTCATGAATCTGGAAAATATCCAGTCTTTCAAGTTGTAACTTCTAGCTGTTCTGAATAAATTATTGGGTCTCATGTTGGTTCCTTGTGGTGAGTCATGACATTGTGGTGATGCTGCTTTAAATGCTTATTATTGAAGCGGTCATTTTCTGCACTTTTAAAATATGTGCACTGAAGAAATGTAACTTGATAGACCATGAAGTAGCGACAAACACTTTGGCTCATATATGTTTTCATCCTCACTTCATTCAGTGGTTGTGTTCCCAAGGGAACGAAAGTGAAATGTTTACCATATGGCACAAACACTATGCTAGAGACATCCAGTATGCTAGTACACCATCCTTAAGAACAATGTGGTTATCACCATGCTACACTAGCTTTTGTAAAACTTTCCCCCCTCCCTAGACTTGTGGTAGGAATTCTCTTTAACATCCCCCAGTTTGAGTGGAGTTGTGTGATGAGTTTCAACTAAAGTGTTGCTCATGGAAGTGACAGGGGATGTCTGGACTTAAGCATTTATTTGTGGAAAATCCCTTGGCTTCAGTTAATCACACCTTTTAATATAGTCGTTTCTCTCTCCACCTGTGTCAGAGGCAGCAGATGTGATGGAAAGTCTAGACAACCCATGACAAGTGTAACCAAAGTAAAAAAGAGCTCTTCTGTTTAAAAACCACGGGTATCATTGCAGTCTAACCAAGACAAATATTATCTATCTCACTTTAATGATGAAAATAACTTCCATAGCTGGTAAAGGGAATAACTGAGACACAAATTCTAGTCTGCTGCCAAATTTGAACCTCCCGTGAAGACTATAGTGTCAGCCTGTATCCCATATCTCTTTGCTCAATCTTGGACAGTCAGAGACAAATTTTTTGACACTCTGAGAATACACAAGGAATGTAGCAAAGAAAATGACCCCAATGGCATTCTGCTATACTCACAGATCATCCTCAGTCACCATCAGAGAAGCTTCCTCCTGCAGCAGATGGAAGCAAATACAGAGATCCACATCTAGACAAAGTACGGAGAATGAGAGACATTGGAACTCTTGGCCCTAAATGAAACATCTTTGTTAAATCTCTTCACTCAGGACTTGGGTAATACAGAAGAAGAGTTGGAAAGGATGAAAGAGCCCGAGGAGATGAAAGACATCAAGGAAACACAGCTTTATAGACACAGAAGGAATCACACACATATGAACTCACAGAGACCGTGACAGCACGCATAGGCCTTGCTTATGTCTAAGTCAGATGAGGTCCTAGTGCTGATAGGGAAAGTGGAAACAAGCCTCCACCCCTAACCCTGAAACTCTCTCCAATTGAAACCACTCACAAAGGAAAAAATTAGTTTTCTCTAGTGGAGACTCACTGGTTATACAAACAACACTAAAGGCTAGTCCATGGCCAATCCAAAATAAATTCGTGTGTGTATGTGTGTGTGTGTGAAATAATGCTTGCTTTGATGCTTTGTCTGGGCTCATTTCTTTTCTTTTCTTTTTCTTCTTTATTTACAGGGTTTTACTTAGGTAATGGTTTCCAATCCTGTGTCTTTATGGGACTTACTGGACTGTGAATGTGTATATCTTTCTGTGTCTATGTGTAGTTCTTGGGCTTTTACTTCAACTCTGTTTTTTTTTAATCTGTTTGTTTTTTTAGCTTTGTCTTATTTATATTTGTTTGTTTTTTCTTTTCTTTCTTTCTTTTTATCTTTTTTAGATGCCTGTGCATTTTCTGAGAAAGAACAAGAAAGGGCATGGATTTGGATGGGTATGTAGGTGGGGAGGGGTGAGAAGAAGGAAGGGGTGAGATGGTTGGAAGAAAGGTAGGAGAACAGGAGAATCTGGGAGGATTTGGGGGAACCATAATCAGAACATATTTCATGAAAAAAATTTATTTTCAATTAAATAAAAGAAAATAGGTCAGATGTTTGATATTACTGAAAATACAAGTCATTTCTCAAAAAGTACATTTTAATGTATAATTTATCTAAGACTTAATTAAGCTCATAGCTCTACCACTGTGAGGTTCTGCATAAGAAGTGTATTGGGAATTATGCAGAAGAGCATTTCATGGTTTTGATGTTGCATAACCTCCAGCTGCTGCCCATATGAAGGAGCCTCACAGACAATGGCAAACACATAACAGAGGACTCTGAAGAAATATGTGAGGTTGGCCACTTGAACAAACTCAAGCTTTTTCTATGATTCTAAATACATAATAAACCTTAATATCAATACTTTGGTTACAATCTATGATTTAAACTCTTTTTGCTTAAACTAATATTTTCTTTAATGGAGAGAATTTCATTGTCCTTTTGATTCATTTTCTATTAAAATCAGCAGTTAGAGAGAAAGTGGGCATTCTTTGTGGTACATTAGTTAACTTAGTTAATACACAGACTGTATTCATTTTATGTTAATGATGCTGGTTTGAATAAATTAAGATCCTGTTTTTACTTTACCTTGCAAAGTAAAAATGAAAACTGGAAAATATTTTTATAGCTTTCTAAAAGACCCAGTGATGAATCAAATGTATGTTCTTATTTATTTTTTTTAACTTGTTTTAGTTTTTTGGGATTTTAAAATTATTTTTTCTTTTTCTTATTGGATATTTTAGTTACATTTCAGATGTTATCCCCTTTCCCCATTCCCCCCACCCCCACCCAGAAACCCCCTATCCTATCCCCCTTCCTCCTGCTTCTATGAGGATGTGCCTCCATCCAGTTACCCACTCCCAACTTCCTGCCCTTGAATTCTCCCACACTGGGGCATCCAGCCTTCACTAGACCAAGGACCTCCTCTCCCACCTATATCCTACCAGGCTATCCTCCCCTTCATATGCAGCTAGAGCTATGGGTCCCTATAGCTAGAGCTATAGTGCTCCCAGACTGGTGGTTTAGACCCTGGGAGCTCTGGTTGGTTGGTATTGCTGCTCTCCCCATGGGGCCTCAAATTCCTTCAGCTCTTTCAAAATTCTCTCTAACTCCTCCATTAGGAATCCCTTGATCAGTTCAATGGTTTGCTGTGAGCATCCACCTTTGTATATATCAGGCTCTGGCAGACCTCTAAAGAGACAGCTATATCAGGCTCCTGTCAACATTCACTTCCTGGCATCCACAACAGCTTCTGCCTTTGGTGACTGCACATGGGATGGATACCCAGGTGGAACGGTCTCCGAATGGTTCCTCCTCCAGTTTATGCCCCATGCTTTGTCTCCATATTTACTCCCATTAGTATTTTGTTACTCCTTCTAAGAAGGACTGAAGCACTCACACTTTGGTCTTCCTTCTTCATGAGCTTCATGTGGTCTATGAATTGCACCTTGGGTATTGCAAGCTTTTGGGCTAATACCCACTTATCAGTTAGTGCATATCATGTGTGTTCTTTTTTTTTTTTTTTTTTGTTTTTTTTTTTCTTTGATAGTAACTTTTATTAGTTATACAGAGCTCAGTGCAGTCTGTTGTTCATTTAAGATGACTATTCACAAATGTAGCATATAGTGCAATTTGAGCCACACTATATTATACTCCAGAAGAAAAAAAAATCACATGCTAAATTAACATATTTTAAAATTTCAGATAAAGAATTTTCACTGTAGGTACAAAATTACAGGTACTTGTTTTTGCTTTTTTTTTTTAACTAATTTTAAGACATTATAATGTTTAATGGTAATATGATTCCTAAGTATACTTTGATTTATATTTCAACAATGTTTTCTTCACTTATTTAGTCTCTGTTTATTGACATTCATGTAAAAGAGCACACAATCCAAATGCAACTCAGAACGATGATTTCTAAACTTCTGTTAAACTACTGTAGTAATTTATACAATTAAGAACAAGACAAAAGCTGGGCTGTGGTGGCACACGCCTTTAATCCCAGCACTTGGGAGGCAGAGGCAGGCGGATTTCTGAGCTCGAGGCCAGCCTGGTCTACAGAGTGAGTTCCAGGACAGCCAGGGCTACACAGAGAAACCCTGTCTCGAAAACCAAAACCAAACCAAACCAAACCAAAAAAACCCCAAAAATCAGATCAAGTGATAGCTTACTTAATTTTAGTATAATTGAGACAGTAAGGTCAAAAAACTCATATGAAGCAGAAAATACACATTTAAAAATAAACTTTTTTGCTTACAATTTTACGTTTTTATGGTTAATACAGGCAACAAGGTTCTTAGTATCTTTTTACTTTTGTCTATAAAAATAAAATCTTTAGCATTCCTAAGTTATTTTTTCATTAAGTTGTTTTTTCATTAAAGCTACTATTACCATTTTAAATGGCAGTGAGTAGCTGAATAAGAATTCAAAAAATCAGTGGCACAAATTACATACATACAAGATGATGTAACAGATACAGTGTTAAGTAAGCAATTAAGAGTACAGTACAGTATTACCTGTATCTTAGAGGTAGAATTCTTAATCACAGTCTTACAGAAAAGACGCAGTGGATTCTGCTTTATCAGTTATGGTACCTATACCTTGCTTCTCCTGGACTTAAAACAAAGTAGGGAAGAGAGGGTTTTAGGCAATGATCTCATTGACCTCTGTTCTGCATCTATTGTAGAAGCTTGGCTTAGAATAAATACTGGGGCATTTTCTTGGTCAGTTATTGATCATATATAGTATTTATCTCACATTTTGAAAAGCCTCTCAATAGGAAAAAATAAATTTCTAGTCCCCAGGGCCTGAGAAGGAGAAAAGTATATTTCTGAACTATTCTGAGTATAAAGTGTAAATGAAGTCAGTATTTCTTTGGTACCATAATTTTGTGTGTGAAGTATCAGGGTAGTGCAAGATCATTAATGCATAGTAAGAAATACTGCAAAAAAATGTGTATGTATATATATGGGTTCAATACCCAGATTTGACTGTTGAGTATCTCTAATTGACATTTATTATAACACTACAAATGAGTGTAACTTAAATTCTGTTTCATGATGAACCTAAATCACTAGTACTTGAATAAGATTGTACTACAGACTGATAAACCAGAAAGGCAGAATGTTTTTGTATGTATTGGCTTTTATTTCTACATTAGCTGTCTATAATTTGGGATTGTTCTAATCCTTCAAAGTCAATAAGTGACCAGAAGTAATTCTGTGAGAGTTATAATAAAAACTGTAATGAATATGTATACCCAGTGCTAAATCTTACGGTAGGATGTACATTTCATAAAATCTATCTGAACATTTGTAATAAAAATAGTAACTAAAAAATAAAAACTATGACAAAAACAATTTCTTCCAGGGAATTTCAGATTACCCTCCTTTGATCTGATTTCTATTATAATTGGGACGGCAAGAAGAGCCCATCTGATTCCAGATATTACACTTCTCTTCAGGTAAACTGGTTGGAGCTAGTGTTGTCAAGTTTATCTCATTTTTCCTTCATGTTTCTGATGATTTTCAGAATTTAGAAAGGTGCTGTTTACTTACACTGATGTCAGATCTTTTCAGTAGCATGTCCCTCACACCTGCGTGTGACATGTGTTATCAATACCAACAGCTGTGCAGAAACCAACACAACACTGTTGACGTGTAATATAAACATAAGTTCATCTTATCTCTAATTTAATCTTAGCTAATGTCTAGATAGAATGCATCTTATTCATAAACACCAACTACCTTTTATATATATCAAAGACACTGTCTAATCTTTATGAGGAAAGAATGCCTTCCCAGTTTTAATTATAAAAATGATAGCTTTTATTATATAAAAACTAAGACTTATAGATAATATTTCACATTATATTTGGTTATAAAAATGTTAGAAATATTTTTTTCAGTGACATGCTTCTATTTACTTTTTTTTGGAGAGATTTAGTACAGAAAAGCTGATCTATTCAGTCCATGATTATATAATTCTCAAATGATTTATAATGTAATGTATCGGAAACTTCTTTAATTAATTTGTACCTGCCACATGTACAGAGAAAATTATAGGTAGAAGCAAACTGGTGCCATGTTTATGAACATTGTTAATTCATTTCATTTATATATGATATCTGGGAAAGATTTTTAACCTTAGGAAAATAGTTCTTATGGCTTCATTCAATTAAATCAAAATTTTACATGGTATCTTGTTTTACACTTACGTATAACTGGGTCAGTAAAGTTATCTGGACATAAAGTGATGATTTTCCTTTCATATTAATTTTTACATATCTTACACTTACATATATTTTTAAAAATGTTATGGGGAATATAACTAGTATCTTGACTGTAACAGTGCATTAGAATTTTCTACCTCTTTTTTTCATCATTAAGTAATCTGTGTTGAAGTTTTAAGTTCTACTTTTCCTCTTATCTTCAAATAGACTTTTCAGTGTATAGACTTGAATAGCTGACACCACCACCATGACCATTAAGTTAACTACAGACCAGAAATTGACTCTGTCAAAGTTGCTTTCTTGTATGTTTCGGTCACGGGCTTCAAATGCTCTAAGCAGAGTTTGGATGTGGCCACTTTTGCTTAGTCTGGACTTGATGCTGTGGATGGATTCCAGGATATCTTCTAGTTTCATCTGGAGGACATCTGTGTCAGTAATATACTTTTTCCAGTCTTCTTGTCCTTGAACATCTTCTCCCATGTTATCCAGAATCAATTCAAAGAAAATTACCTTCTCAGAAATGGTGCTGAATGTGTTATCAAAGCAGAACATGTAGTCACCATCTTCAGCCTCTATGGTATGAACACCATCTGATTTTCTTTGTTCAAAAACTAAGGTTCTGCCCTCTGGAGAGGCAAGGTGGAAATCAATATCTAATTCTCCTCCATCTAAAACTTGGTACTCGATCTCCAACGACGCCTTCAGGGGCATGGGCTGGTAGAAGCACTCCTTCCGGCCCGCCGGCAGCGTGAAGGTGAAGTCACTGTCCAAAGAGGGTGTGAAGCCGGCAGCCCCGCGCAGCACCGCTGCGGGCAGAGCGGACAGGAGCAGCACCGGGAATGGCAGCCACATCCTGCTGCCTATCCCTGTCGATCTCAGACTGGACGCGTATAGGGAGGTGCCATGTGTGTTCTTTTGTGATAGGGTTATCTCACTCAGGATGATATTTTCTAGTTCCATTCATTTGTCTAAGAATTTCATGAATTCATTATTTTTAATAGCTGAGTAATACTCCATTGTGTAAATGTACATTTTCTGTATCCATTCCTCTGTTGAAGGACATCTGGGTTCTTTCCAGCTTCTGCCTATTATAAATAAGGCTGCTATGAACATAATGGAGTATGTGACCTTGTTACATGTTGAAGTACCTTCTGGGTATATGTTCAAGAGTGGTATAACTGGGTTCTCAGGTAATGCTATGTCCAGTTTTCTGAGGAACTACCAGACTGATTTCCAGAGCGGTTGTACCAGCTTGCAATCCCACCAACAATGGAGGAGTGTTCCTCTTTCTCCACATCTTGGAAAGCATCTTCTATTACCTGAGTTTTTTGATCTTTGCCATTCTGACCGGTATGAGGTGGAATCTCAGGGTTGTTTTGATTTGTATTTCCCTGATGACTAAGGACGTTGATCATTTCTTTAGGTGCTTCTCGGCCATTCGAGTTTCCTCAGTTTTAAGTTTAAAAGTATTATCCTTTCTTGGCCTATTTAGATCACAAAGTTTCTATCTATATAAAAGTCACAAACAATATGACAATCTGATAATTCATGTCACTTACCCTAAAATTGTTAAAAATCTGACTTTTAATTAGTGTATAGCTATGTGTTTTAGATTCAGAAACTAAATTTTCAAGTATATTGCTGAGTTTTTGCATTCAATGTGAATTGACAACTGAGATATGTCAAAGTAGGTTACTTAAGGAAGAGTAGTGACTTTTCTTGTATGTCTCCCAGTGACATTGAACTATCTCTCTCTCTCTCTCTCTCTCTCTCTCTCTCTCTCTCTCTCTCTCTCTGTCTCTCTCTCTCTCTCTCTCTCACACACACACATACACACACACACACTTTCACTCTCTCACGTGTGTGTACATTGCAAACATTTTCATATACTTTTACTTACTCTATTTATTAGTTTTTTCCATTGATTTTTAGAATGCAGTATTTTAAAAATGGCTCGTCTTCTCTCCCAGTGTCACCAAATGCTTATGTCACTGACAACATGTGGTCACATTCTTTTCAAAATAACTTTTTCCAAAAATTCTTAAGTTAGGATATTGGTCTCCTACATACAACCATTGAAAACTACATAATACACAATAAAGAGAGGACTATGTGACAAACTTTCTCTTGATTCTTGTGATTCAAACAGAATAACATATTTAATGTAATGACATTACATTAAAGTCATCCAATATGCATGAGTTCAATGAAGGGATTATAGCATAAAAGAAAAGGGAATTCTAAAGTAAGGTTTAATAAGCTTATAACTTAGGGAACACACAACAGGATACTTTATTAAAAAAAAACAGTTTACTTATGGTCGACCTATTTTAAGATTTGATCCACCTATACTAATTCTGGTCATATACCCCAAAGAACTATGCTTTACTACAGAGACAGATGTTCATTTGTGTTCATAGCTACACTTTTCACAATCACGAAGATAAAAATTAGCTTTGGTGTTCATCAACAGATAAATGGATAATAAAAATGTGATACCTGTATACAATGAAATTTTATTTAACTGTAAAGCAAAAATGAAATGAAATTGGCAGATAAATAAATTAGACAGAAACATTATACTCTGTGAGATAACATGATACAAGGAAACAAGCATTGCATTTTTTCAATAAATTGTGGATCCTACTCTAGGATATTAGATTTGTGTGTTTAGTTTGGAAGTTAGGGAACTAAAAGAAGTCCATTTGGTGGTTAAAAAAAGAAATATCTTAAGTGAAGGTAATAATAAAACACAAGGGATATTAAGGGAAAAAAGGAAATCATTGGGACATAAATTTAAGGGAGAAATGGATGGGAGAGAAGGAAGAGGAACAGTTAGAATGAGGGATCTTAACAACAATGATGTTTGAAGAATCTACATACGAATTTTCTACTTTCTGAATTTCTTCTCTCTCTCTCTCTCTCTCTCTCTCTCTCTCTCTCTCTCACACACACACACACACACACACACACAGACACACACACACACACACACACTCACATGCAAATAAATGAGTTTACATAAGTGTTCCTTCAAGAAGCCACAGGTGGCCAAATAAAAAGTACAAGGCCAGGTTTGGGCTCCCCCCACTTGAGTTATTGGCCAGTATTCCAGAGGTACTTCAAACAATATAGTCTATTGCCATTGTTCTTGATGACAGGATATTGTTACTGAAGATCATATACTTTGGTCACAAGACATGGAAAAATTGAGGTAATTCTGACCAAGAAATATCTTACTTAACTGATGGCTTGTTTTCATAGTAGTAGAAGGTGCTATGAGAGAAAAGTCAACAGTATTACTTAGTTATGAACTTTAAGAGATATAGTAATTAATGACCAGCTTGGGAACATATGCCCATAGATACAATAGTGCCACAAACATTATGGGTATAACCAACTACCTTGCTTGGCTTTAAGGCCTACTCCACAAGGGAATATAGGGGAAATGCAAATATGCATGTATGATGCTGTAATCTGTCCAAGAACTGATGCTTAAGACACTGTAGGTCACATAAGTGAACATATTATTGTAGGAGGAGCTAAGGTTGGAGGAGTTAGAAGAGGAAGTGGTGGAGTAAGGAGGAAAGGAGAAAAAGGAAGAGGAGGAGTTAGGAGACAGGAGAGAAGAACAAGAGACAGAGAGGAGATGGAGGCAGATGTTCACGTGTCTGTAGCAGTGAAAGGTAGTTGGTATATCTAGGTTGGGTATTGAGTTACACTTCTGATTGTATGGGTATCTTGTTACTGATACCAAATATATAAGCCTTTGATTAATCTTTAAGCATTAGAGTCTTGTCTCATCTTTCTACTGGGCCCACGTGGATGGTGATGCTCTAAGCAATGCCCTGCCTTGCGGAGACAGCATGGAAGATTGGCAGAGCCATCTCTCACACTGGCATCTAGTGGGTGGCAGGGCTGGTGTTTCTGGTGAGCTGGTTCTAGCTGCATCGTGCACGTGGCCTTAGGCTGAGAAACATGGCGGCTGGGCTAGGTAGAGCCGCTGCAGCTTAGATAGTCAGATGAACCAGAGGCCAGTTTTAAATAATTACCACAACATACTATTATTTTGGTAAAGATGAGTAGTATTGAACTGCCCTTTAAGCTTGTACGTCTCTACCAATAGATTAGTGCAGCTCTTAGAAGAGAAGCTCCATTGCACATGAGATGGTGATTAGTTGAGAAACCCAAAAGTGGTCAATGTATACAGACTAAGATTGGGTAGAACTCAGTACTAAGTGGGACATCTGTATCTACCTTCTCCACACAAAGTTCAGGGACCATTGTGGAAGTGTGGATGGAAAGATTGTAAAACATAGAGGTCAGGAGAAACTGGGACAAAAAAAAATGTCTCCTAGACATGACAAGACCCCTGCATTCATGAATTCACAACAGCTGTGGCTGCTGCATAATATCATGACAGTTAGGACTCATTGATCAAAGAGGGATGGGATTCCAATCTATTAACACCCATCTGAGGAACTGTAGATAGTTGACTGCTATAAAAGGAGGAAGAATCAGTTGTCTTGAGGGATGTGATTCCTGTCAAATCAGCTATGCTCCAGTGAGTATTTCTGTATCTGTAGGCATACAGGCAACACAGGTTTGATCAAGGATTACTTTTTAAGAAAAGGGTGCACAAAGATGGGAGTTGGGTAGGATTGGGGTAGAATTGGGTCTAAGAGGAGTTGTGGAGGGATAGTATGAGGTAAATGTGATAAAAACTTGTTATAAGCATTTATAATAGCCTGAAAGAATTAATAAAAAATATTATATCTAAAACAAATAAGAACAGCAAGTACATCTGTCATTTAATTCATTCTTTTTTTTTTAATTTAGGTATATGTAAGAGTTCTGCTAAGTTCAAACATTTTTTGTTTTCCCAGAGACAGATTATTTTCTTCTATGGAAAGTGAAATAGCTAGTTCATTGAGAGCAACTTAGTTGCTATTGCCGCAAGCAGATTTAGGATGGATGCAAAGTACCTGTCAGTCAAAGGTTTGATGCTTTTAAGCACACACCACTCTTGTTTTCTGTAAAAAAAAAAGATTTTCTTATTTAAATTTAGATTTAAAAATGTCAAAATGAGTTTATAAGTGTCATTGCTGATTATATACTTTTCAAGTATAATTATTTTCTTAGACATACAGTTTACTCTTTCTATCTATAATGCTTGGGAACTATTTTTGAATTTTTATATTTGCAGACCATGAAACATTTGCATATGAGAAATGAGGACTTGTGGGAATTGATCCTAAGACATGATACACATGATTTATGCTTCATGTATATTTTGCTGTTTCTTAGATTTATATCATGCAGGCAATTTTGCCTAATTATTTTAGTGTACTTATGTGTATTTATATTGCTTGCCACTACTGAAATTCAGAAGGACACTTTTACATTAGATAATATGTAAGTCCTCAAAAAAGTGTTGCATATTAAAGAATTTTTAATTTGTGATTTTCAGATTCAAGATGCTGTGCTGCATTTAATTATATATAGATCATTATCTCCATGATAATGAAGTACTACCTACATGGTTCACCAGTTCTATAAGTAAATTTGTGACTCAGTGAATACTATCTTTTGCTGACATACATATATACTTTTGTTTATAATACATGAGGATTATGGGTTATTTCTAAGCAATGCTAAACTCTGCTTGCTAGATTCTGGTGGGCTGTAGCTCCTTGATCCAGGTTTGAAAGATACATGAGCATTCTCTAGCTTTGAAATGCAGAGGCCAGGAATAGCTTATTGAGTAAAGCTTTCAATGCATCTTTCTGATGAGATACATAGTTCAATCACTCACTATTATTATACAAGTCATGTGGAAAAGTCAGACAAGAGAGTAAAGCATTATACCCCCCTTATGCTGCATGATCCATCTGAG